AATTAATTAATTAACTAAAAAAAAATAAAATGTCCCTCATTCTTTTACCATTGTTCTTGCATTTATTAGTTTATGAGTTACTTCCTTCATCCATGCCCTCATCCCACCCTATCTGGACTATTGCAACAGTCCAGTGGTCTTTAATTGCCAAATTTAATAGACTTTTCTCAAACCCTACCCTCCTTGACATCTCTGTAGCATTTGACACTGTTGACAACCTTCTCTTCCTGGATATTCTCTCCTTTCTGGGTTTGCATGACACTGCTCTTTTAGCTACCCTCATACCCGTTGAACCACTCCTCTCATTCTCCTTTGCTGGGTCTCTATCCATGCCACACCTACTAACTGTTGGTGCACCTCATAGCTCTGTTCTAGGTCCTCTGCTATTTCCAATCTAAATTATATACTTGGTGTTCTCATCAGCTCCCATAGATTCAATACTCATATCTATACAGATGATTCCCACAACTATATATCCAGCCCTAACCTTCCTCATGAAGTCTAGTCTCATATTACCAACTACCTATTGGACATTTTGAACTGAGTATGTCTTGAGTTTTAAACTGTACTATTTTAAAACTGAACTTTTTGGACTTCCCATATAAACTCCTTTGCCACTTAAAGCTCTTTAAAACCTGGGACCTCCTTTTCTTTACCATCTTCTTACACGTTATTATTCCCTTCCATGCACTCTGTGCTCCAGTCATCCTAGCTTTCTAGCTGGTCCTCACAAGGCCTCTGCACTAGCCATGGTCCTCAGCCCTGGAATGCTCACCTCTTCACCTCTGCTTCTTAAAATCCCTGACTCTTCTTTGAGAGAGGCCAGACACCGTCTGCGGGAGATCCATCTCAATGTCCCCTGGCCTAGGACCTTCCCCTTTACTCTGTGTTTGTTTAAAATGTGAGCTTCCTGTGGGGCAAGGCTTATCTTGGTTTTTTTCTTTTTATTTCTTGAGGTTAGTATAGTACCTTGGCACATAGAAAGTATATAGTGAAAGTTAATGACTAGGAGCAGCTAGGTGGCACAGTGGATAGAGCACCAGCCCTGGAGTCAGGAGGACCTGAGTTCAAGTCTGGCCTTAGACACATAGCACTCACTCACTGTGTGACTCTGGGCAAGTCACTTAATCCCAGTTGCCTCACCAAAAAAACCTTAATGACTGATGGGGGATTTCTTACCTTTAGTGTCTCCCCTTCCAATTTATGCTGAGCCCTCTACCAGTTATCTCCCTAATGAATAGGTCACTCTTCTCAAAATCCTTCATAGCTCCCTATTACCTACAAAATAAAATCCATATTCCTCAGTCTGGCTTTTTAAGACCCTGCATAAACTGACTTCAACCTCCCTTAATATTTTTTTATTTTTATTTTATTTATTTACTTTTATTTTATCTCTTCCCTTTACTTACTCTATATTACTGCCAAATTAGATGACACCAAATTCTGAAAACCTTTCCTGCTTCACGTCTTTGTTCATGCTGTTGCCTACTCTTTGAAAACCCTCTTCCTCTCCCTCCCATATCCATTGGTTGAAATAATACTCACCCTTTAAGCCCAGATCCAATGCTGCTCCCTCAAGCAAAGGGTAAATGGCCTACTCAGCAGAACCCTTAGTTTGTATTTCTTTTGGCCCTGATCCCACCAGTCCTTTTATTGTAATTACATGGATGTGAATCTTATTCTCCGTACTAGATAGTGAGCTGCCTAAAGGCAGGACCTACATCTGAAATATCTGTTTTCTCTACAGCCCAGGACTCTACACATAGAATTGCAGAGCTAGAAGAAGCCTCAGAGATTAACTGATATGGGAATAAGTTCCATGACATCCTTAGCAGGTGTCTAATTAGTCTGTGCTTGAATAACTCCCATGATGGGGACCTCATTAACTTACAAAGTAGCCCACTCCATTACTGGAGCTTTAACTATTAGAAAATGGGTGGAAACTATTAGAAAATTCAGTGGAAATACGCCTTCCTAAAACGCTTACCCTTTGATCCATGTTCTGCCCTCCTTGGACATATAGAACAAGTTTGTTTTCAGTTCCACATGAAAACCCTTCAGAGAGAGGTCATGCCACACCTCCACCCTCCATCCCTTCTTTTCATCAGGTTAAATATTCCCAGATCCTCTAAATGATCCTGATATGAATTGCTTTCTAATCCCCAGCTCCCCCCTTCCCCAATCTGGATTAGAGTAAAAAAGGAGACTACTACAATAGTGATTTTATTATAATAATAATTATTATTTTTTAAAAAGTTTCTTTGTAAATCAGATTTACAATTCTCTCTGTGTAACTAAGCTAAATCATCTTCCCAGGGTCCCTAAGGAAAGGGAAATGAGGTTACAGTCATAGGTGAACTATTCAAATACACCCACCCCCTGCTGTATACCTGTCTCCCACCCCCACCCCACCCCCAAAACCCCCTGCCCTTCCATCGATCTGTTCATCAACGCGTAAGAAGACAGCTTGCCACTTCAGCCTCAGGGGCCTTGGGAGAGGACCAGGGCACTTCGTGGGAGTGTGCAAAATTTCTTCTGAGATTCAGATGCGAGGGCCAGAATGGAAGCAGGGCCCTCAGCCTTAACTGAATTCAGATCTGTGGAGGTAAGGGCCTTCTATCTCTGTGGGGAAGACATCTTCCAGAAGGCTAGTGAGACAGGGAGCTGGTGCTCAAGGTAGGGGAGGAGCTTCATTTACTGGCACTGATTTGGTTAGACTTCATGTAAGAAGAAGGACTTTGCCACATCAGAGAAAACAAATAAGAATTAGATCTTGGGATACTTTGGAGAGCCCTGGAGATCAGAGGAGCAGGACCTGAAACAGGCTGAGGCCAGCTTGCTGAATCTAGGCCCTGCTCTGGTATTATTGAACCACAAACAAACAAACAAAAAGAATAAATAAATAAATACTGAAAAACAGTTGGGTCACTTTCGGCCTCAGGCCAAAAGGCCCCTCCACTTCTCTCCTGTGGCCTCCCATTCTTCCCTCTTTCCCAGACTTTACTGATGGGTATGAGAGCCATGGGATACCAGGACTGACAATTCCCATGGAAGGAGAAGGATGGATGGCAAGGGAAGAAAAGAGAATTTCTGCTGCCTCTTTCCTGATGAGAAATGTTCATTAGCAAGCTTGACCAGTCCAGTAATGTTCTCTGGGGGTGGGTGGTGTGTGGTAAGCAGGCTTGACTGCCTGTCTTCGGAGAAGGCTGAGCATAAGTGGTGAGCTTCTCCGTTCTGGACTGTTGCCCAAGGCAGAGAAGGAGCCAAGACCGTACTGTTCAGGTAGTTGGCACATATGTAATTAAGTCAGAGGGGAATCCTAGTCTGAGTCTGGGATGGTCCCACATCCTGGCACAGCAGAAGAGGAATATGACCCCACTTCCCAACATCTCCCTGATGTGGCCAGGAAAATAAATAGAGGCAGGAGTCTAGTCCTATGGCCGTGGTCTGGCCCCCAGGAACTTCAGGCATAGTTACTCTCATCCTGGTGTTGGGTCCCCAGGTCTGCAGACACAGACCAAGCACCTTGCTCCCCAGGGATGGGCAGAAATTAGGGGAGGACAGGGAAAAGGGCATTCCCAATCCCCAAAAGGTAGTTACCATAATCCACACCTGTTGGAATGGTGAGGTCTGTGTCTTGTTGGATAGGGTTTCTGTAAAAGGACAAATGATGAGGCGGCCTCCTGGTCTTCCCAGGTCTGCCGAGACAGATGGACACCAGGTTCTGTCTCAGAGCTGGAAAGGGTATTGCCTGAGATAGTCCCCTATCCGCTTAGGCAGGGGCAATTGGTCCACCTCAGCAGTGAGCTTGTTGATGGCGAGCCGACACAAATGCTGTAGGCTCGGGGCGCTGCTCTTCCGCACAAAGGGCTGGATGAGTTTTAGGTGGACAGCAGCCACTGTTGCCGTGGTGGGAACTGTGTCCTTGTGGCTGGGCAGGAGCGAGGCAGGGGGAGGGTACGGGGTGTCGTTCTTGCCGTCAGTTGTGCAAGATGTGACATAATGCTGGATGAGGCTGACCACATCCGGGAAGGCCAAAATCCGTGGCTTGGACAGACAGTTTGAATCCAACCTGAACTTGCTGTCAGCATACTCTATGCGAACATTGGTGGGGCCCCTGTTGGTCTTGACGGAGAGTGTGAACAGATAGCTGGGGTGGGTGCTGTCCCGTACCAGGAAGGTACCCTCAGGCATCTTCTGAAGGTGCTGCTTGGCCTCACCCGCTGTGAGAGATCCCCAGTACCAACCTGGTGGCCAAGAGCAGAGAGAATCAATGCTGTTGATTTTAAAAACTACTCATGTAGTTACCCACTGGCCCGGGGAGAGAAAGCGACCATCTCAGGGAAGCAGCAAAGATTCCAATCTCATTCGTAGGGAAGGGAAAGGGGCATTGTTGTCATTGTTAATAGCTCACGTTTCTATAGCACTCTAAAGCTTTTAAAGTGTTTTTCCTATAACAGTCCTATAAGGTAACATCTCCAGAGCAGATAGATAAGAGAGAACATTTGGAATATTTGGGATATTTCTAGTGCAAAGTATGGAAAGATAAAGGACATCCTCCCAGGATATCCTCTTTCCATACCTGCATTAGACCAGGGCCTCACTGGGGCCTGGGGCCATGTCACTCCCTTCTGACTTGGAGGTCCCTGAGGGTAGGGAAGTTTCTAGCCCTCTTATAGGAGTTTCCCTAGACAGGAACTGTTTCAGTGTTCTCCTCCCTCTGTCTCTGTCCCTCAGGCCAGGCATCTTCCCAGACTGGGCTCTCAATAAATGACAGCCTGATGCTCATGTCTCTAGGGACAGGACCACTCACCAGATTCCCGAAGGTAGGTGAACGTCTTGGCAATGCATAACAAGTCTTCCTCGGGGTCACGAACTTGATGCAACTCATTCTCCATTAGGGCTGGAGCCACCTCTTCCTCTTGGAAGGAGGTCACAGACAGGGGTTGCATGACTGGCTCTGGTAATTCAGCTAGCCCAGGTACCGTCAACCCGGCAATCCTCTCTTCTTCCAGTAAAGGATGGGGTCTGAAAGGAAGGATGCTCTGTTGTGAATGGAAGGTCCTACGGACTGCCTCTCTGGCTCCCTCCCCTCTCCTCACTCATCACATGTCCAACCCCCATCATACGCTCACCAACACTTTGGTCATCCACCACTCTCTCCTCTAATGCCTCTAAATATAAGAATCTAAGCATGCCACCTAGGGTTTGTGGTGCCCCTGAACACACACACACACACACACACACACACACACACATACTTCCCTTCAAAGAAATTCATAGCCCATGGCAGCTAACAACTATGTTAACACAAAGCTCTTTACTACATGTATTGTTTCATTTGAGCCTCACAACTTTGTGAGATAGGTACTATAGGTATTATTTTAACCCTTACACTAATAAAGAAATGGAGACTCAGATGGGTTAAGTGACTTACCCAGTGTTGTAAAGCTGGTAAGTGTCAGAAGTGGGATTTGAACCCAGGTCTCCACTCCCAAGCCCAACACTCTATCTGCTATATCAGAGGACCTTTCATAAAACCATTACCTGTCCTGACTTCCTCACAGGGTTGTTGGGAGAACAGACTAAAACAATGGTTATGAATATGCTTTTCAAAAGAAATGCCTTCCAAATTTTCAAAAATCAGGCTTCAGCACAGTTCCAGGCCTCAGGAAGGAAGCCCTGGCAGCTAAGACAAGAGGTGTGAGCAGCCCTGACCTGAGAATGAGCTCAGGTGACCAAGTGTTAGCATCCCCTCGATGCCTCTGGCTTAGCTTGCTCCAGATCTTGTGCCTTCCCCACTTGACAGACGGTTCCAGGTAATGTGGCTCAGTGAGGAATGGGACACCTGGGCAGCCTGCCTGCCTTGGTCTTGGTCCTCATTGTGGGAGGGAGAACAAAAAAGGAATTCAACACAGTTGGAGAAGGGCTGGGAAAGGAGGGAGGAAGATGAAGGAGGCATTTCAAAGTCCTGGAAAGAACACTGGTTCTTAAATGATCAATGCAATGACCCAACCATCTTTCCAGGGGACCAATGATGAAACATGCTACCTTTGGGTGACGGACTGAAGATGCAGAACTAGACGCACATTTTTGGACATGACCAATGTGGAAATGTGTTTTGCTTGACTATGCATACTACAAGGATTTTCTTTTGCCTGTTCTTTTTAAGGGGGCGTGGTAGATAGAAGTGGGAAAAATGCTTATTAAGAGGGAAGGAATAAGGGTTCATATAGCATCGACTACGTGCTAAGCACTTTTACAAATGCCATCTGATTGGATCCTCACAACCCTGGAAGGGAGGTGCTATGTTACCCCTATTCTACAGTTGAGGAAACTAAGGCAAAATGACATTGAGCAATTTGCCCAGGAATCACACAGTTAGTATGGATCAGAGGTCAGATTTGAACGTGGATCTTCCTGACTCCAGGCCCAGCACTCTATTCACTGTGCCATCAGCTGCCTCTAACTACAAAAAATAATTAATTTTTGAAAAGATCATTAGTTTGAGAGTCAAGAAGCCTGGGTTCTATTCTTGGCACTGTCACCGCTTTTTCTGCGACATTAGGCAAATCCCTCTGTAGGCTTTAAGGTCTGCCTCTGTAAAATGAGGGTTCTGTTTTCTAAAAAACCTTCAGTTCTGACAATGAGCCCAGTTCTTTCCTGATTCCACCTCTTTCTGCTACTCCATATCAGCTATCCAGCAAAGATGTAGGATGAGGAAGAAGAATGAAAGTAGGAGGGAAGAATAAAAAGGAGAAGGATGAGAAGCAGCCCTGGAATTCTGAGTGATAGCTTTATATGGGATGGGGGGATAGGAAGGGGAAGATTAGACCCAGAAAGAAGGGTTTTCTAGAAATCATCTGGAGATGAGATATGGCCTTGGGATGGGCTTAACTACCCTTTTGCTCATGTATCCCCTTCCCTATAATGCTGTGGTGACAGACGTGCACACAATACACAGAAAGACACACGTTTAGGTCTCTTCTGTCTCTACAGCTTCTCCCATTATTCCTGTTAGGCTGGGCTTTGGGGGCAGGGGCTGCCTCTCCCCTATCCCTCTGGCCTGCCAGCCACACACCCTCCAAGAAGCTGACATTCTAATGGGGGAAGGCCTTCCAGAGGTACACCCACCTACAGGCATGTCCATGTGGATCCCCGGGATCCCCCACTCCACCATGGACCTACTGTGCATTTCTATAGGCTCTCATTATATATGGTCATGTGTTTGCACTGGAGTGTTAGGGGTCTGCATACGTGTAGATCTATAAGTATGCCTGTACATGCATATGTAGGTGCAACCACACCCATGTGTTATACATTTAATAGTCTTGTCATGCTGGCTAATGGTATCGGCCTGGGAGCATCAGCCTTGTGTCATAGGAAGAGCATTAGTTTGGGAGTGAGAAGGCCTAGGCTCTAATCCTACCTTAGAAACATAGGACTGTTGTGACCTTGGGCAAGTGACTCCTTCTCTCTGGGCTTCAGTTCCTCCCTTCCCCCACACAAAATGTCAGGGTTAGACTAGACTCATATGTTCCCAAAGTGGGCGATACCACCCCCTGGGGAGCACTGGAACCATGGTGGGGCGATAGTAGTTTGAAATGATGAAAATTTTTTTAAAACCATTAAAGGGTTAAAGAAAGTAAATTTCCATGGGGGCATTGAGTAATTTTTTTTTAAAGGGGGCGATAGGCCAGAACCTCTGGACTAGATGATCTCTAAGGGACCTTCTATCTGTAGGTCCTATGATCTTTGCAAAGCTTTTGATTGATGCTGTGAGCCTAATGATGGGATGTCCGGCCATGTGCTTGGCTCCTGGAAAGGACTGGAATTGGGCTTGGAAAGTTGGGGGCGGGGGAGGATGGATTGGAAGAATTTTGTTGTTGCTACAGTTCAAAGGTAGACAGATGTACTTGAGAATGAGTAGGCAGGAAAATGGGAAACTGGTTCCCCTCCAATGCAGCTCCTGCCCCAGCAGGACAAGGAGCCCAAAGAGGAGCTCAAAGCTCAAAGGAAGCCAGGTTACCAGCCTACCCTAGAGCCAATATGTGCCTCCTGCCAAGCATGAAATATGGAACAAAGTACACGAAGGTCCGAGGCCCAGCAAGCCAAGCAACCTACTCAGGGGCCAAGGAAGACTAGCGGAGAAGGACAGAGGCCTAGATTATTCACAGGGACTGGGGGAAGAACTGGAAGTTGGTCCAAGGCTAGGTTTAGGGCGGGGACTTTCTCAGAAGATTAGGGAGAAGGGTTAGGGGGTCTAGTAGGTAAAGAAAGGCAGGGGCCATTAAGGTAAGAGGAAATGGTCATGGTGGCTAAAGTCTCTGCTGTGTACCATCAGAATCACTTGACTACCCCTAATGTTCAGAGGTGGTGAGGATGAAAGGAGACAGAGAGGAAAAGAGGGATAGATAGAGGAAGGGGGGAAGAGAAGGCAAGATGGAGAAAGGATGGAAGGAAGGAAGAAAAGAAAAATAAGTGGGGAAAAAGGAAGGAGGAAGAAGATACGAGAGAGGAAAGGAAGATAGGAGGGAAGAAAAAGATAGAATGAGGGAGGAAAATGAAGAAGAAAAGAAGGAAGGGAGTAGGAAAATAGGGAAACAGAAGAAAAATCCTTTCCTCTATCTATTTCTTTTCTTACTTCTTAAAGGGCAGAAAAGATAGCAGCCAATGAAACCCAATCAAGCCATCACTGCCTTCCTTGGACTTCTGCTGAACTCTTTTCCTGGCCAGCAGGGAGAGGGCAGTACAAAAGGAAGGGCAGCCTGCTAGATGTTGGGATAAGGAAGGTTAGGAAGGAGACCTGGGCATCAGAAGCCAGGTAACAAACAGACAATTAAATCTGAAGGGTCTGGTTTTACAATCTCCAAATTTTCTCTTCTTTCCTTTCTCAGTTAGTCCTAAGTTTAAAAAGAAAAATCCTGGAAAGGGGCAGAGAAAGTGAGCAAAGGAGGGAAAAATGGTTTGGGAAAAGGTTAAGAAAGTCTTGGCTTTTAGTGATAGGAAATAGCAAGTCCAATGACCCTTTCCCTTCTTCCTGAGCAAAGTCATGCTGAGAACAGAGAGGAGTCCCACTGGCTTTCCTTCTTCTGGGCTCATTATGACTAATTACCCCAAAGAGATAAGAGCTAGGGTGATATATTACATTTTGAGAGTCTCCCAAGGAGGACCTGAGAAGGCCTAGATGGTCAACAGCTGGAAAAGACCTTAAAAAAGCATCTGGTCCTATCCCTCCTCTAGGACAGATGGGGAAACTAAGGCTCAAGGACAGGCAGAGCCTTGCCTAAGTTCATTCAGTGAGAACTGTGGGGTCTTGACTGCCAGATCAGGCAGGGCACCTTCCACTACTCCATGCCCCCCAGCACTAACGACATTAGTCGAGAGGTTTCCCACCAGACCAGGGCACCGTCTCAGCAGGAAAGAAATAGGGAAAGGGGGTTCTTAAGGGCGCAGGAAACAGGAGGGTCATGTCCCATCTCTTCTCTCAAGGTGGACTTTCCTAAGTGTCCTTTAAATCTACCTAGGATAGTTTTCTGGAGTGTTTTCCCCTCTGCCTTACCCCTTTCAGTCTTGGCCTTTCTCAGAAAGCAGCCTCTCCAAGTCCTAAAAAAGTCTCTACCACCACATGCATTGGGTCAAGGGGAGCCGACAGCATTTGTTTGCTATCCATGCCTTACCCACCTCTACTCTCCACAATCACCCAGTCTGGGAACAAGATTCTTGGAGCAAACAACCCCTCAGGCCAATCTGTATTTGCTGGAAGGGATGGGTGACCCCAGAGCCTTCAAACCTACCGACACTGTTCGGGACTTCCCAGAGCGCTGACAAACGTGGGGGCCGGGGGCTGGGAGGGAGATGGGTATAGAAGAAAGAAGGGAATGGCGGGTGCACACACGGACAAGACGGGGGTGTCTCTTACCCTTGGATGCAGAAGATCATGTCCCGTTGGGCTTCAGGGAGGCCAGCCGCGGTCTCCCCTCGAGCCCTTTCTCTCTCTCTCTCTTCTGTCCTGGTCCGGTGCGAGGGATGTATGGCGGAAAGAGAGGCTGTTCCTGTGGTGCTCAGGGAATAACCCGAGAAAATGTTAGCCGCGTCCAAACTTCGGGCTCAGTCACTCGAACTTCAGCCAGGCGTCCACAGGGCTCGGGGCTTGAGTAGGGGCTCAGGGCTCACCGGGGCTCCTGGTTCCGTGGCCTCCTCCCTAAAGCCGGCTCTAGGAAAAGGACCAGGGCACGAAGGATTCCCGCAGCCAGCCGCGAGAAGCTGAGAAGGGCTGTCAGAACTTGTTCCTTCTCTGTCCCAAAAAACTCAGGCGTCCGGCCCAGGCCAGAGACTCAGCACTGCCGGTCAGACAGCCAGTCTAGGATGAAGACAGCGGGAGGATTCCGGAGCCCAGAAAACACAACCTTCGCTGTGGCTGCCACTCGCTGTAATGAGCTGAGGGGAAGCAAA